TGCTTGTTATCCAACTTTGGGTTTCGACCCAACTTGGGTTGTCAGATGTGTCCGAATGATAGCAAAGATCTGTAGCAATATGCCAAAGCAAAATGCTTTCATCAAACTTTACCTTGACGCTCTAATCAACAACAGAACAGTTCAACTTGTCAAGGACTCGACCGCCCCGGTGGGCGCATAATAACTTACATGCTTCAACATCCAATGCTTCGTGAGATTTCAAGTTAAGCTAGTAAAAAATGAGTGTTTTCAATTCTGCAGGTACAACAGTTGTTGTTGGTAGTAAAATTCCTCAAAATACTTATAGATGCCAAGGAATTTTTGAATTTTGATGCATTTGATCGGCTCATCTTTCAAGGCAAAACTCATGAGATTGAATTGTGACATACGATTAGACCACCTCTTAGCATGTGAGAGTTTACAATTTCTCTGAAACTATGATATGAACTTGTAGAGAAAATTGACTCTCCAATTCTTTTGCTTGCTCAACCAAAACATTCCCCGACTTGAATAAAGTAAAATAATAACAGCACAAATCTCAAGCGAAATAGTAACATTGAAGAGCACAAAAGTATAAATATGGTAATTATTCATATGACCTTTATCTATCACAAAACAAAAGGTCAGAAGTGCAGAGAGTGTGCAAAAAAAGCTCACGGATTTGAGGAAAATGCCGAGGCGAGAGTAAGTCAGCATTGCCTTCGTGTATAGTAAATCATACATCAATTCAAGCTCAATCTCGATCACTTGAAAAACATAACCCCAAGATTTATTTTGAAAGAAAACTTGGCTGTTTTTGTGGTCTTCAAAACTGAGTATGAGATCAGCAAATAGACACTTGAAAATCTTAAAAAAATGGAATCCATTATGTAGAAAAGAAGCTTCTGGGATACAACTATTTGCTATTGCCCTTTGAGAATGATACAATATTGTGGGAGTAGTTTCAATCACTTCCCCTACGAAAATAAAATCCCCTTCAGTATCCCCTTCAGCTTGTCTTATACGGTAGTTATTCAAGAATTCAACATAATCAACATAATCAGATCCTAGGTCTGGGAGACTGGATTCTCTGAAATTTTTGCTGCTTGCCAACCTCAATGACCAAGCCCTCTCACCATATTTGATTATTCCTGCAACGAGAACTGGAATGGCAACGTAGTTAAGGTGGCTGCCATTCTATGACTTGAAAACCACGAAAACTATTGCTACTAGGTGATAGATTGACACAGGAAAATGTTGTAGCCATAATTCATTATCCTCAAGAGAGTAGGAAGTGATTGTATCAGGGCCACCAAGATGCAAAAGAAGGAAAGGTGCCCAGTTCGCCATAAATATGAAGTTGGGGTTTAGTGATGGATTTTTACTGTCCGAGAAAAGAGTGCCTAGCGCCAAAGTTGCAACACTAACTGCTGACAGATAGTTGAACCAGATAAAAAACTGTGTCAGTCTACCAGTTATATACCTCCTTCTGTTACCATTAAATAGAAGGACTATTTGCAATAAGAGACTTACGGACACCAAAATCTGAATTCCCAATACATTCCATGCTTTTGTTAGAACAGGGATAACACTAGCCGTCATGGTTTGTCTTAGAATATATCTCCTGAAATTTTGGGATGAAATGAGAAAAAGTAAAGTCTCTTGAATGTGTGTGACTAGATGAGGGGGTGTGAGTGCAGCAGAAAAATGAGATATCTTTTACGGGACGATGTTGAGTTAAAGGAAGAAGGTTTATGAGCCCTTAGCAGTGAGTGTGAGTGAGTGGATATATGGAATCGGAAATTTGGAAAGGTTGAGGTTGAGTGAGGGAACTCTATATACTGGAAATGGAGAAATGAGAAAAAGTAAAGTCTCGTGTGAAGAAGAAAGTGAATGTGTGTGATTAGATGAGGGGGTGTGGGTGCAACAGAGAAATGAGATATACCTTACGGGATGTTGTTGACAGAAAGTCAGGTTTGTGGGAACAGATAGCGTGTCCCTCGTCTCTTAGCAGTGAGTGTGAGTGAGTAGCTATATGGAATCAAAAATTTGGCGAGGTTGAAGTTGAGCTAGGGAACTCTGTATACTGGAAATGGAGAAATGTGCAAGGTTGATTTCTCTTTCAGTCAGTGAGATGAGCTTATGAGAGCGTGGAGAAATATGCGGTATCGTGTAAGAATAAAAGTTACACTACCTGTCCGGTTGTGAGGAATACTGATCACGTACCCCTTTTCTTTCTTCAGGATTTCATTATAGATCACTCAGGAATGCTTGGTCTCTGTGCAAAATGTGGAACACAACCCATTATATATGCAAACAAAGCACCCAGCAAACAACGGATGGCTATACAAATGATTTGATTTATATAATGTTTGTTAACCGGGGTGAAACATAAAGAAAAAATGTTTGAATTTTTAATGGGGGAAGTTATTTGATGTAATTACTATTGATTTAATTTAAAGCACATCTTGATATTAACATGTATGAATTAGTCACTCCATAAGTAACTAACATCAGCACTCATATACAAGTTTTAGCATTTCCATTTCTAAATAAAATCTGCTTGCTGGGAAGTCTTACCTTAGTATAACATAATCTTGTTGAAATTATAACAACACTTCAGCTAGTTTGCTTTCAATGAGTGATAGCAAGTATCTGATCTCAAGGTATTCCAGCCATGCTTACCCTGCTTTTGAAAAAAAATAAAAATAAATAAATAAAATCTAGGAAATAGGGCAAAGTGTGAACTGAATATTCCTTAAAATCAAAATAACAATAAATAAGAAGGAGAATGCTCGATCTCTGTTCAAAACGGGGAACCCAGCCAATTATATATGGAAACAAAGCACCCAAAAAACAATGAATGGCTACACAAAATGATTTGAATCATGTAAAGTCTGTAAACCAGCTAAGACATAAAGAAAAAGTTTGAATTTCTAATGGGAGAACTATTTTAAAGAAAACTTCTAATTTAATTTGAAGTATATCTTGATATAAAGCTATATGAATTAATCGCTCCATAAGTAACTAACAGTAGCATCTACTCAGATAGATACAAGTTTTAGCATTTCCATTTACAATTAAAATCTGTTTGCCAGGAAGTCTTACCTTTATATAACAGAGTTGTGTTGAAATTATAGCGGCACTTCAGCTAGTCTCAGGTTTGCTTACTCTGCTTGGAGCACTTCAACTAGTCAATCTCCTTGTATCGAGTGATTGCAAATATCTGATCTCAATTCTCAGGTATGCTTACTCTGCTTAATTCGCTGAAGAAGGGTTGTACTATGACTTGAAATGTTTTGCTTTTTCCTGCAATGTAATGTAATTCCAACGCATGTCGTTGCAGTGTTGTTGGAGCAGGGAGCAGTGGTACTAAATTTATGTTATTGGAGTGGGGAGCAGGGGTACGATGGATAAAATTCTGTTATTTTATGGTGCCTGCATTTTTTATTTTATGGTAAACCTTTTGTGCCTGTTTTCTTTTAAGTCTTGTTGCAGTGTGATAGCATGTTTTCTGATACCTGCATGGTTGCAGTGTTATAGCAAGGGTAGTGTATACGAAAATTAGATAAAAGAGTGTAACTGCATACAAGTGGACAGAGCAAGACACAACATCACCTCACTGTTTATGCCCGCTCGAATAAAAGTTTTAAATTCTTTTCTTTTTTAAAATCGTTGGATAATCAAACTTAATTAATTCAACACCAAAAAATAATTAAATAATTTATTGGGAGGAAGTTTGAAATTCTTTTTTTTTTTGGAGAATAAAAAAAAAAGAATTTAAAACTTTCTCCCAATAAATTATTTTGTTTTTTCAAACGTACAATAAATTATTTTGTTTTATTATCCTCCTTTGTTTGATCATCTATTATTATATTAACATTATTTCTCCAATCAACAGCTCAGAGTAAACCTCAAAATGACATGAGTTTTTATAAACTTTATAATATTGTACGTTTGTTGGGAGGAAGGCAAAATGTTTGTTTAGTGTGAGTCCGGGTAGTAACGAGTGTCAGTGACTGGGTTTATGGAACCAGAATTTTGATTTGAGGTTTCAGGAGGGAATTCTATCCGATTGGAATGACATTTGCATTTCATTTGCCAATTTTTTTTTCCACTCTCTCTCCTTCTTTATCTATCTCTTTCTCTCACTTTTTTTTGGTACATATATCTTTCTGTCACTTAAAATGACACAATTTCACATCTTTTAAAATAATACACACTTTTCCCAGAGATAAAATGTCCATTTTCTTGGATCAACTTTTGGTTATTTTTGCATTGTGTGCTTTAAACATTGTGTAATTTTGATTGTTAGTTGGAAGTAGGGGTGTAAATGGGCTAGGTCGGCCTACAGGGACCTACGGCCTAGCCTATATTAGGCCAGACTTAGCCTGTTACAAATAGTAAAATAGAACAGGCCTAGGCTTTTAAAAAAACCTATTTAGAAAATAGGTCAAGATTTTTTTGTACATCTCGGGCCTATAAGTCTATAGGTCAGCCTATATTATATTATTTATTTTAAATAAAATAAATAAAATTATTATTTTAATAAATTTGAATAATAAAGTAATATTATTTTAGTTATTCTTTTAATTGTTGAATATTTAATAAGCTTAAATAGGCTTAGGCCAAGGCTTTTATTTTTTAAATATAGATCATGCCAGACTTATAATTTGGGACCTACAAGACTAACAGGCCAGACCAAACCCAATTATTTTTACACAAACTTAGTCTATTTAAATCAAAATCCAATCTAACCTAATCTATCTGCACCTCATCAAAAAGCCTCAAAAAAATTAAGTTAAATCCTCGTAATTAATCTTGCAATGGGCCACGTCTTGGATACACAATAGAAGCCTAGAATATTAATTATTTTTAAAAACTAAGTATTAATTCATTTTTTTATGTGTGTAAGTATACTTTTTTATTTTTTCTATTTTAACTGACTGTTTTAAAATATTCAATTAATTTTTTTATAAAATAAAAATCGTGTTTGGAAAAGAAAAAAGGATCACGTTTGGTTGTTGCTGATTGGAGTGAACGACAGTTACGACACAGTAAGAGAGAGAGAGAGAGAGAGAGAGAGAGAGAGAGAGAGAGGCGGCGATGGGTGGGTCGTCGGAAGATTTCTCGGTGGTGGTGCTGGCGTCGGACCTGGCCGTGGATGCTCGACCCTTCTTGGCTCACGAAGAACGAGAAGAAGAAGAAGAAAGGTGGCACGAGTGTTCACAGCACCTTTCCCCCAACGAAGACTTCTCGGATCTGGATCTATTGCAATTCATTCGATTCCAAGGCTCCGACAAGAACTCCAATCGCATTCTCCGTGTCGTCGGCAAGTACTATCCCGGTAACTAACTGCGTACTATCCACTCTTTTCTTGTTCCTCCTAATCCCAATTATTATTATTTTGAATTTTGAATTTTAGGTTTCGTAACTTTATATTCAAAATCTTGGTGTATTTTACTGATTTGTTTGGCTGAATATTAGTTAAGATGATGCACTATGTACTCTTGTTTGCATCTTGAGTAGTTTCCTCTTAGAAATGCATTTGTCAACATCAATTTCTATTGCTTTTGGCAATTAAGTGAGGTATTTTTGCTTTCAAATGGTGTGCAGCAACGGTTGTGAGTGCAGAGCGGTTGAAAAGGTATGTTTTTCACAAAATTTGCAGTGAGTTGCCTGATGGGCCATTTTGCATAGTTTACATGCACAGCACCGTTCAGAAGGAGGATAATTCCCCTGGCTTAACTATCTTGAGGTGGATCTATGAAGAACTTCCTTCTGATTTCAAGGACAGGCTTCAAACTGTGTATTTCGTCCACCCTGGCCTTCGTTCCAGGCTAGTCATGGCTACTCTTGGCCGGTTTTTCTTAAGTGGAGGGTAAGTCATTTCTTGATTTCTTTGCTGAAATGGATATTGAAAATCACTTATTCTGTTGAGGAGTATCATTTACAATGTATGTTAAGGAATCTGATGAAATGATATGACTACAAAATACGTTTGTAATCGTCTTGCAGCAGCTATGATTTTCATCAATTGAAGTGGATGACAATCTTTTTTTTTTTTTTTTTTTTTTTTTGTGTATTGTTTCTGATTGTTGATTTTGTTCTTTGTTTAGATTATATTGGAAGATCAAGTATGTAAGCCGCCTTCAGTACCTTTGGGATGATATAAAGAAAGGAGAGATTGAGATACCAGAATTTGTGCAAAGTCATGATAATATTCTGGAGCATAGACCACTCACAGATTATGGCATTGAACCTGACCCCTTTAACTTGAGTGCAATGCCTTCAGCCTCGTACCCGTTTGGAAAGTACGAGGAGAGATGGGCAGCAAGGGATTATGTGTCTTAGTATGGTTGTCACGTAATCATCTGATAAAACTCAACTTTTGTACAGAGTAGCTCTGATATTGTACTTGTTTTTCATGTATACTCAGTCTACGAGTTTCTCTTTTTGTTGAGTAAAACTTGAGTAATGACTACATGTTCTACATATCAAGAGGAACTTGTTTCAGTATATTAATCTATGGAAGTTCAACATGTACGTTTTCATATGATGATACATTCTTGAACATTCCTTGGTGATGTTGATATACTGGTATTGTATGAATTGCTCCCCCTTTAGGTATTAGTTGTGTGCTGTGCATGATGTATGGTATTAATGCATTCGATTTGGCTGGACGCTTCTAATGTCTTCTTAAGGCTTGTTATATGTGACCCGAATATCTGTTTTTAGGTTATAGCTTTGATTGAATCATAGACTTACTATTCTTTTTCCTGAAAAACTCAGTCTTTAGATATGTTGCTAAAGCGCAGAAGATGCTCAAAATACAAAGGATAGGAAGGCAAGCCGAGTTCTAGGAATAGTTTTCGTCTTGAAATTAGGAAAGACAGCAATGATTGCTAGAATCAAATGAGCACAGCAATTTTAGAGAACAAGCTCCCTTTTTAAGGATAAAATATCAGTCTTAGTTTGCATTCCTTAACACTTACAAAGAGATGTCACAAGCCCCTTAAAGCTTTTTATCTTCACCGGAATGTATATTTTTGGGTTTTAGCTGTGATTAAATCATAACCTTAGGTTCGTTATCCTGAAAAACTCATTTAAGTATGTTGCTAAAGCCTAAAAGATGGTCAAAATACAAAGGCAACGATTACTAGAATCCAAAGAGCATAGCAATTGTAGAGAACAAGATGCCGTTTTTAAGGGCAAAATATCAGTCTTAATTAGCATCCTAAATACTTAAAAGATGACACAAGTTCCTTATTTTCATTTTTATATTTTAATTTATGATCTGTATGGTGTATTCACGTTCTTGTTTGTATTTTATTTTTTTAATTCTGGTTTGTTTCATCTTGAAAGGTATTGATCTGATGCCAAGAACAACATAAAAAAAATATAAAGCAGATAGGAAAAACAGAGGAAACTAGTTTTATGGTGAATACATAAGCAATAACTATATGAGGATAAAATTACAACAACGATATTACAGGTTAAGGTAGTAATACAATGTATGCGTGGTCAAAGCCACTAAAATCAAACCCTATCAACCCAAGAAAGAAAAAGAAGCAGTAACAGTCGTCGCTAATATGTTAATATCGCTCTCCTGCCATAATTGCAGCGTTCAGAAGCATTCTTCGCAAAGCCAGCAGCAACACAGAGCAAAGAGGCTGCATCATCAATAAGAGTTACAACAGTGAGAAAAATAAATAAATAAATAAATAAAGATAAGTGTTTATTGCTAATAAATATGTTTGTTGGCCTTTCCCTTCATGCAGGATAACATATGTATGTGTGTATTAATCATTAAGCAATAGATGCTCACCATCCTTCAATGAAGCCCCTCTCTCCTTTCTTCTTACTAGAGAATAACTTTCTTCCGGTAGGAGGATCCTCGGTTGGGTATCCTGAAATCACAGGACAATGAAAAGTGAGTCTTGTAAGATCTTCAAATTAAATTGGTCGTGTTTGTGCATATTTGTTTGAGAGAGACATAGTGAGAGAGAGATTGTCTGTGTATAAGGGAACCTGGTGGAGGCTGGTTTTCCTGGGTCTCTGGCTTCTGCATTTTGGAGAATGAGAAAGTGAGTTTGTATTAGATCTTCACCGAGCAGGTCAATGTATTGCACTTGTATCAAGCTGTGTGTCGGTATTGAATGATTACTCTAATGGGGATCGTCTAGTTAATATATAGACCTCGTGACATGACACTACATATATGTTAAAATATAAGCAAGAGAGGGTTTCCCTTTGTTTGGAATACTCATAGACCACCTTTTTTTTTTTTCATGAAGCTACCTTTATCTTTTAGATTACAGCATAAAAATAAATAAATAAAAGAATCTTTATCTGTTGGAGGTCGGTTGGCTAACGCTAATCCATTCACACGCCCTTTTGTGTACTTAATTTTTTTTATGCGATTCGTTTCTATTTATAAGTTTTTGAAATGCCACTTTCGACTTAAACTCCTCCCTTTGAAGCTTTTCTTGAAACTTTTCAGTTTTCACATCTTTCTGTTCCACACTTGGCCTATATATTAGATTGAAAGGCAACTTTGACACTTCACATGATTAGATGAGGAAGCAAAATAAGAGCAGCCCTTTTTATTCTTCTTTCTGATTGTTAATTTGGATCCTTTGCTTAACCCAGAGGACAACAAAAAGCAGTGATGCACTTGTTATAAAAGAATAAAGGCACAAATAAATGTGTAATAGACGTCATATTGGCAGAGTTTGTCAAACATTCTCAACAAACCCACTTAACTTTCATGGGCACACAACTTTTGTGACGAATATATTCCTCACCCGTATTGGTAAGAATTCTTTTACTTTATGAATGGATTTTCTGTGGGAGAGTAAGACATCAATTAAGCCATGATGTTTGAATTTAATTGGTGCAAGTGTTTTATGGTGGAGCCGACTGAGCTGGAAGGAATTTGGGATTAGCACGATGTAACATCATTTACGTAGCAGATTTAGTGCACACGTTTGCACATCCAAATCCTACAAATTTCGTGTTATACTTAACTTTGACATTGTTCACTAAGCGACTAAGTCTAAGATTCGACGTGGAAGGATACCAAACCTCTTAGAAACTGTTTGTTAGTGGTGGGCTTACGTTCATACATGTAGATGCGATTAAATGTCCCTTTGCAGTTGCCCGTAATTAACACAGAAATTGTTAATTTTCACATCTCCGTTTGGCCCATTTTTTATTTTTTTAGTAATACATATGCTTATGTTTTCTAATTATAGATTATATTAAGCGCAGCTTATTTCCTATCATAATTTCAGTCATATGCCAACAGAATATGAACCTCAAACTTTTAAACTACTTCATTATATTTAAAAAGGTTGTCCACTTCTTCTGGATGAAATTTTTTGCAACAAACACATTTACATTAGGATCTGTCATCGGATCCTGCCATTTAAAAAAAAAAATCAAGATCCGCCGGCTTAATCTTAATGTAAATAAATATTGCTGCAAAATTTCTAATTCAAAATTGTTGAAGTATCTATTTCGTGGAGACATGATGTTTGTTTATTGAGTCAATAAGAATATGCAACTGGTTTGCCAGAATTTATTGGATGCAACTTAATTTTTCTTAAAAAAAAAAAACTCATAGTCAATGATTACTTTTCAAACTATAATTATTATTTTTTTTGGAATACAACTATAATTAGTTTTAATTAGCAGCATGTAGTTTCGAGAAATAAAATATTTGGCTAATGGTTAGGACCTTCCTTTTCTGAACCATTTTCTTAAGTTTACGGCAAGAGTGATAATATTTCTGCCTTTTGTTTTATAAACTTCTCCGTCTTAATTTTAAATTCGTCTGATAATAATTGAGCTTACTTTTATTTAAAATAAGGCCATGAATATTTTTATAAACTTCTCATTTTTATATTTTTTAAAAGGTGGAGCACAATTCAGTGAGCCACATCTCGTGGTTACTTAATTTATTTTTTATTATTCAAAATACTTACGCCTCTTTCTTTTACTTTGTGATTGAAATGTCTCAACCCTTTCATTTACACTTCAAGTTTTTTTTTTCCCGTCTATGAAATACGTCTTGATTTTACCAGCGGGACGATGCCCACGGTGTCTTGAGCAAGTAGATGTTATGTTTCATCGTTACTTATACGAGACATGAGATACGATACAACATGTCAACATGTTAATTTTAAAAAATATCATATTTTAATATGTTAGGATATGCTTTGATATTAAATAATATTTTTAAAGGTTGTCATTTTAAATGACATAAGTTATATCATTTTAAGAGAGATAGACACAAGGAATTGAAATCGTGGAAGAGAAAGTGGTTGGTTTTTTTTTAATTTAAATTTTAAATAAAAATATTATTTTGTATTTAATCTCTCTCTTAAAATGACATAACTTTATGTCAAATACTTTTTACTATTATTAATATATATAATATAATTTATATTTAATACATATAACAGTCTATAATAAGTCATAGAACCAATCAAATACTTAAATTTCGTAACATAAATATAAAGCAAAAGTAATTTTTCATACCTTGTTAATTTTTTATGTCAAATTTCATAACAAAAAAATTAATTTATAAATGATTTTTTCATTTTCAATTAATAAAATAAAATTTAGACCTAAAAAAAGTGTGGGATGTGTGTCAAAAATATGTGTCAGAGCATTGATCACATGTTGAAACGTGTCGGTATCCGACACACAATTTTTTTTGAAAACACGTGTCGAAGCTTTCTAGAACACATATATATATTTTAGAAAAATTTTAAACGAGTATTTAACTCAATTTTTTATTATAATTTTTCTAAAACTCTTTTAATTTTGTTTATGTCACTAGAAAACTTTAGAAGTTACGTAAGTTTGAAAATAATTTAATCAAGAAATATTACTAAAACATTTAGAAAATTTTAAAGAGTTTGGAGCAGTGTTAATAAAACCAGACCGACTCGGCCGAGTCGATCTGGAACTGGTAAACCGGTCCGGTTGAAACAATGGACCGGCCATACATCAGAACCGGTGCGATCCGGTTGGTTTTCATGAAAATCGGTGACCCGGTCCGGTCCAAAAAAAAAAAATTCCAAAATTGTATTTTTTTCAAAAAAAAAAATCATAATGGACATATTTGAATATTTGTTTGCCTATTGGCTTACATAAGTTATGTACCTACAACACTAATATTGTCTCAATTATGCACTATACATAAAATTTTGATTTGATTTATAGTTGGAAATGTCATTTTCTGAACCTAAAGCCTCGTATCACGATCATTATATTTTTGTTTGATTCCTTATGGATAATAATATGTGATTTATTATTTTTTATATTAAAATATTTGAAATTTGCATCATTTTTTTTAGATATTTATGTATGTTTATAATATTTTAATATAAATTAGAAAATTGTATATAATTACCGAGTCATGCGATTGAACCAGTAACTCAATACCTCAACCGGATCAATGACCGAACCGATTTTAATAACATTCAATTTGGAGGATTAAGAAAAGAATTAGTATCGTAAGTAGAGATGTATTCTACGATTACGATGGAAATCGTCAAAACATACTAAACTTTCTACTACATATTTGTTTCACTCCATTACCAACTTCTTACAGAGAACAAACAATTGTGTAGTTTCA